TGATTATCTTGGATTAACGAATGTTTTCAATCCTATATTTTGTTGACAGCTAATATAAAACAAACTCATTGTGTTTCACCTGCTCTAGTAAAAACACTGAAACACAGGCTTATTTCTTGCAAGACCAAAATTTTGTCTATTGGTTTACAGAAGTATTTTGTAAATACCACTACCCTTTCTATCTATCTGACCACCTCATTCACACATCAAACCCCTAGTATAGAAGCTGACAACTCAAGGGTACTGTAATGCCACATATTAAAAGATCTAAAGTCAAACAAAATAATAACTGTAGATACATTTTTTCCTAATAGGGCATAATTACGGGCATTGTTTGTACTTAAGAGTGAAATCTCAATATCTTTAGTCTAGACTTCCAGATTTCCAAAAGATTCAGAATTGAAATGTCACAGGAATGATTTTAAACTGTTCATCTGCTAGGCACAATAATACTATTTATGTACAGACAACATTTTAAATATTCGACAATTTAGGCTATGCCTTAATGGCAACATAGCAGAACCTTCTATTCTAACTACAAGAAATCTTTGGCATAGAAATCCTTTGCAAGGGATTATAAGGAATTTTATTTGCCAGTGAAAAGTATTAACTATTTAACTGTGACCAAAGCTATCCAGTTGTTCTGAACAGAAGAGGCTAGGACATTCAGCTGAAACTGCAAAGAATTAAGGCAGCAAATGGTAATTGCTGATACTGGAAGTAAGCCTGGATAAATATGGTTGAAACTTTAATGAAGGAATAGGTTAATGTCTGACCTATAAGGTGTTGCGTTTATAGCATAAAACTCTCTCTTGTCTAGAAAAAAAATACTTCTGCTAAAGCATGAATACCAACTTTCCTTGTACATTTCTTCTCCAAGAAAAGACTTGATTAAGCCGTGAGATAACCGTAGACCAGGATGGACTGTGTAGCACCAGATGAAATTCCCTTTCCACATGTCTGTTAGAGATGGAAGTCTGATTTCCACTTCATTATCTTTCAAATTGTTAGTGAAGAACTGATGGCTATTTACTTGACGTTTTATTCCACAATATTAAGAACATTAAGACATAGGACTGAATGCATGCATCTGATCCCGAGTTTATCCATGTGGAAGACTGAGAAAGAGAGACTGTAAGTTAATTAAATTCTTTTTGAGATGTGGAGTTTTAAAAGTATCCTGTGACTTAAGAAACTTCAGCAACTCAAGTAAAAAGATCCTTCTAGCATATTCCTGCCCTTTCACTAGAAGCAACTAACTCAAGGAGAAGAGGACAAAGGCCAGTTACACATGCCACTTGACAATGTCAAAGCACTGACCATCACAATAATATATACAACATTCCAATTGCATATATTGGACAGTAAAATCCCAGTTTTCAAAGTGGTTATGTAAGTGAAAACACTAGATTCTGAAATCACGCTCTCCGTTATCTGTTCAAGGTATTTAAGATTGTTCCAGTGATAGACATTCCCTGTTTTTAAATAATGGAAAACATCAGAAAAAATACTGGAGTGCTGGCTTTAATATTACAGTAAATGCATCATACTGATGTCTGCAGATTAGAAATCCAGAGCTGATAAAAGACACTGAGAAAAAGCAAAACATCTACTCACAAATATATTTCTCTGCACTGACCAAAAAGATGGCAAAACACTTTATTTCTATATTCATTTGTATCAAAGTACTAATCTAAATGTTGTACTCATAATGGAATGATTGGATGGCCAAGACAAGTTACAAGTCCGAAGCAAGGAAGAAAGGACTGTAATCATTCTCTAACTTTCGCTCTATCTTGTTGTCCATTTAACAAATTCATCCTCATATTAAAACATTGAGCAGGATACAATTGTTCTGAACTGCAATGTTTAGTCCACCCACTAGGTCTGAGACCAGTGTCACGATAAAACTCTGTCAAGGAGTGTTCTTTAAATCCCAGACATTGGTAAGATGCTCAAGAGCTTCATCAAGCTTTCATTTTTTTTCATGAAAATCACTTTTCTGTGTACTGAAGACTGTTTGTTTAGAATGGCTGTTAAAAACTGTAAAAGGAGATGATCCTGGAAGTGTGGGATGCTTAATTACTTACCAAGAGGAAATTACACTGTCTTTCTTTTTGCCTTTATATAAAGGTTTGTTTAAACACTTTAAACTCTGTTATCTGGAGCCATCTACTATTCCTGTGATTTTATGTTGACCTTATTAAAGGTATTTTTGTCTCTTCTAATATTCTTCAAAATTTCACTGCTTCTACCATTAACCCACAGACAAATCCATTAAAAAGACCATCCTCCCAAGAGTGCTTTTTACTTGAGACAACTCAGTCAGATTTCAATGTTCTAAGTATTAGACCCAATGCCTTAAACCTTTCCCGATGGAGAAGCGGTGCAATTATAAAGAGATCAGTTGCAAAGTGAGTGGTCTCAGACATCTCCAGAAGGTTAAAGAACACAAGACACCCACATATGTGAACACTCCTCCATATTTTCCAGATATTTTAGAATATTACTATTTCCATCACGAGAAAACATCTACTGTTAGCTAATAGCCTTAGGATTCTGAGAGAAAGTCAGCTATATCGTATTTCATGTTTACCACTCATAATGTTAGATCAGTACCTGCTGGAATGCACCATGGCAATTCTGAGATTTATTTTTAAAGGTATATCTCAATGGGGTAAGGCAGTAAACCTTTTATTCTCTAATTTAAGCTGAATACAGTAATAATTTGTTTATTTATAAAAATGACAGAATAATAGTTTTAGTAAATATTTAAAGATCTCACTGTTATTCTAAGACAGCACAGAGAAGGCAATACCTTCGAAGAAATATTTAAAATCCCTTCAGTCTTTTATAGCAGTCACTATAAACCACTATGAAACTTATATATAATAAAATAAAAAAAAAAAATAGGCCAAATCTGAATTCTGGAACACAAATGTTGAGAAAGTATTTAGAGAGTGCAGAATGCTCTCCCCTCCCTTCAGCTCTCCATTGCTTGCATAAAATATGCCATAGCACTATGAAAACATATTTTAAAAGTCCTAAGGGAAAAGTTTCTTAGGGTCTTTGAAATTTCTCCTTTTCCTATTTCTTTACAGATTTCTAACACCAACACTGTTCCCGTAGTATCTCAAAGAAGGCAAAAAGAAAAATACCCTCTAGACATAATCTTTAGATTTTTTAGAATACTTCTCAGGTTCCTTTTGGCTTCTGAAATAAATGAAAACTGAAATCTACAGATATATTACCAACTGTATTTTAATTTTAGTTAATCTTTCAGCATGAAGAAGTAGGTGGCATTTGACCGCACTATTGCCCATACTGAAAAGAATCATACAGAGGTACAATTTAATTAATGAAACAATCTGAAAATACTTTTGGTTTGGTCTTTTTTTGCCAACTTGTCTTTTATTTAACTGTAGGCACAAACAAAAGCATTGCTTCAGGTTCCTATCTCTATGATGATAAGCACAGGGCAAGGAGCTACCACCTACCTATAGGACAAATTTACTGCAATATAAACCATGCTTCCATTTCTCCCTTTTTTCAAGAAAATATTTGAATACAATTATTCCAAACTAGGGATTGCATATTTTTCTTAGCAAAATCAAGCTGGATTTTAGAACACATTTTATACGATAATTTTGATGAAGCAGTTAGACTTTTGGCTATGGATGAGTCAAGCTGTTCAGAGATACAGGGGTATATTATCAGCAGGATAGACATTTAACTTTGACCTAGTCTGCTTACTTTAACAGACTTAACTATGAAACCAAGTGCTGCTCCACTGCCTACCTCCTGAAGTAATAGCTATTTTCCACCATGCAAATGATGAGGGATATCAGTTCAAATTTGATTTCCTGAGTATAGGTCTTTACCTGTATTTTTGTTTCATTATTAACCTTGGCTCCTCCACCACGATCTCTCAGATTATTCTCCCTGTGTAGAATTATGGTAAGAAAACACCAGAACATTTCATGTAATCCTGGCCAAGAATCACTACAAATTACTCTCTAGGAAGCACTGAATATCAATGCAAAGAATTGTTTGGCATCAGAATCTGAAAATACACCCAGCACAGCCAACTCTGTTATTTCTAGAAACAGGAAACTTGAATTTTTCTATAAATTTCAGCCTGCTGTATGCCAAGACATTGAGCTATTAGATTGCTCTGCTCATATTCTTGCTTAGAACACACTGGAAAAAATCAACAGCTTCCAATTCACCCTCCTCCAACCACCGTTGCTTACTACTTACAATAATGAAAAGTCATAGACCCTAGGCCAGAAGTTTCTACTGCGAGTAATATCCTTACACTGTTTGCACCAATTTGAATAAGCAAGTTTTGTATTTGAAATGCTCTTACAAATATTAAGTTTAGCAATGGGTAAGTTGTGTAGCCCTCTTTAATAATTAATATCCACAAAATGATGATAGGTGTCAATACCTCAATCCTAAAGTACTAACACATGCACTATTATGGAGGACTTAAACCCGGAGCAAAAAGATTTGTGAAAAGGCGTATGACCTTCTTCCCACTACAATGGCCATCCGCTAATTAAGCAATGCATCTGATAGTCATTAACAGGAATGAGATAATGAATCACTTTCTCTCTTCTTTGTTAATTTGCTGTAACCAAGCGGCTAATGGATGTCAGAGCTGAGTGATTGCACTGATTATAGTGATTTATAGTTGCAACAAAACAATTTAAAACCATTCTGATTATTCATGTTAAAGATGCTTTATGTTTTGTTTACTAAATGTTTTATGTTCCCCCTCATGCCCCTCTACACACAATGAGACAGGTCTTAGTAGAAAACTTGAAAGTTCTAAGATTTTTTATTGTTTCAGAGTAAGGCATTTCATTTTGTTTATATAAAAAAAAAGTTTACCCAGTAGAAATGAAAAGCCTTAGGGTGGAAAGAAAACTTCAGTGGTGCCTAGTTCAAAAGAAGACGGAAATAAGAGGAAATAAGGCAAACTTCAAGCCACTTACCTTAGGGCTCCCAGTCCCTTCCTCATTCTCCGCAGACACATCAGTAGCCAGTATCTCTGCTTTGATGATATCCAGAGCCCTAAGAATCCAGCTGTGTTGCCGTTTGATTTGCCTCTGTAGTTCCTTCCATTGACTTGCAATCATCTGCAGCATGTCCTTCAGTCCTTCTCCAAAATGAAGGGGAAAAAAGTAAAAGCTGTAAACTTGACTGCATCTTTAAATATTATTCTTTGTTCAAAGAATTAGTGGGATATTTAAAAGGATAAATGCATCAAGGATTTTAATGTATTTTCTCAGCAACAAACCCAAGCATTACTGTTATTCATACTGCAAAACAATGCCATAAGGTCAAAACATTTCTTGTGCCATCACGTTAAATTTTGATTATGTTTCAGCTGACAATTTCAAGAAAAGGCAAATCCCACATAAACCGTGATTTCTATTCAGTAGGGAATGCTATGGCAATCTCACCCTCTCATATCTAGTCTTTATCTCAAAACATTTCATAATCTTCCAAATACACTTTTCTCACCTCCAACTCCTGCAAATATTTTCTGTGGTTTACACATTGCCATCTTCTAAGTGTATGATGACATGCACCACCCTTCTCTGCTATGGTTTCTATACCTTTTTGGAACTATACATAGAAGTTACTAATTTCCTATAGCTTTCACTATTCAGAGATCTGTCTGATGCTGTGAAACAATAGAGGCGCAATATATAACATAATCAAAAAGCAGTAGACCAAAGGATAACTTCAACGTGGATGAAATGCATGCCATATAGGCCAAAATTAAGATGGCATTCCATAGCAGTATATGCTGATTAAAACACTATTATCATACTAAGGCATGCAAACATCTAAAAATATAGCAGGTGATGGGGATAGAGAAAGGGAAATCGCCATATCTCTCCCCCTCCTCTTGATTTAAGGTCTCTGCAGAAAAAGACAAGTCTAACCAAAGGAAAAAGGTATTTGTAATTTTAATCTATTCCTCATAAATATATTAAAGTCGATGCAAGAATTAGTTTAAGTGGCAAAATAAAGCTTTACCAATGCAATTACCCATGCAGAGTATGTATATACATATATATATTTGAAATCCTAATTCATTATCTTAACGTTATTTCCATAGCACCTACATCAAAGAATGTGTCAGTGTGAAGTTTTCAGTGATGTGATTTCAATTGAAACTCAGCTGAGCAGCAAGACCAAAATAAAATGAACAGACTATTTGCAGGCAGTATTTCATTTTATAAGTATCACTGCATTGTGTGCAGTATATGAAACATTTATAAATCTTGAAGGTCAATCTGATAATGTAAATATTAATAATACATAAGGAAGTGAATATATGCAGTAATTTACAGCAATGCTTCTTCATTCTTTAATAGTCCGGAGACATGAAGACTTGCAATATTTCAGAAGGGTTTACCTGATTTGTGAGATACAATAAGCTCGAGAAGTTGACGTCCTTCTTCTACCACTGCTTCTTTTAAAGCACAGTGGCTATCTACATTCAACTTAAAACTCTGAAGAAAAAAAAAAGAAAGAAACGGAAAAAAAGAGAGTGAAAAAACCTCAGTATTAGACATCGGAGAGGCAGTTATCATAAAACAGACGTACAAAATTACATGCTGCTTTTTATCAAGAACTACATCCTCATTTACCCAATAGCCAAACTAATTTGCAACACTAAAAGCTATTGATATTTTGGATCTGGGCTCAAAATGTTTCCATTAGATCAGCAAAGTGCATCTGTGTTGAAACAGCTGACAAATCTAGAAATTCATTAGGTTTTATGAAAAGTCACAACCCGTAGGCTATATCTGGAGTAACAGTGTTCTATAAAATACACTAAATTTATGCCACCACATATGAGCTGTTTTTTTCAGATTTCTTTCAAATGTTGGTGATAGCACTATTTATGAAGCCATAAAAAAATTACAGCGTTGAATATATTGGCCTTATGTGCACTCATACAAATCTATTAATATTGTGTTTCTGAGTTAACTCTCATATCCATTTTCAAAGAACAAATCAGACTGCCTTAGATCTCTGCATTCCTAATTTGCAAAGCGAGTATTTTTTATCCTTTTTCACTAATATTTTTACTAGCTTACAAAGGCTCTCCATCTTAACAGTGATTAAAATAATTTGTTTCTTTTTTTTAATTTTATTTTTCATTTCTACAAGTTGCATTAACATCTAGTAATAGAGAAAGGAACTAGGAACATGATCTACTATATGTTATGCCATTTCATACCACTGATAACTTGGAGAAATTGCTGAATTATTTGCCAGAGCTTCTCACTCATACTTGTGTGTAAGAAAGAGAAACAAAATACAATAAAGAAAGTGGTACTTGAGCTGTTTAATCATAGATCATGTGCAGCCCTGAACACAGACACGCAACTCTTCTTTGAAATGTCTATGGAATGAATGAAAACAGTATTTGGCTCCTTGGAAGAAGAGAGTTTTGCCTTCTCTTGGGAATGAGTTAACTGGCAGAGATGAAAGGAAATTTTGCCAGTGCACATTTGTACCTTCTGGTTTTTATAAAACTTATTTATACTTCTCCAAATACTGAGTGACCATGCTAGTACTGAAGTAGCAGACATCCCAAAATACTCAAAAGCCCTAATTTCTCAGGGAAGAGACCATTTCCTTTCTTTCATAACTGCTGTAGTCAGGCTGATTGGTGTAACAGTAAATAATATTGCCAGAACTGTAATAAAATGATGATCTTTTCCTGTATTTGTCACGGTTGAAAGAGGTATGTTGCTCACACAGGCTCTTAACAGTCTTTCAGGCAGCAGTGTATTTGACAGTTAGTGACAGAATGTTTTTGAGAATTCTTCATTCAAACAAAGAGCAATAAACAGAACTTTGTTATCTTCAGCATTTTGTCTAGCCCAATTTTCCTTGTATAGGCACCTGAATATACTGTACAGCTGCTGAATGACTGGGTCAGCCAAGAGAAGTTAAAAAAGGATGCCTAGTTTATGTCTGGTCCTGTCTGAAATCTAGAGTTTTTATGAACCCAAATCTAGAAGTTCTTTTTCCTTTGTAAGAGCACGTCTGAACAGGCAGTGACAATATTTAATTTACTGTTTACTTAAAACAGGCTTGTACTGAATAGTTTGTAATCATGCACTTCACAGGAAATGCACTATGCGTGTGCCTCACACAGCAAAAGAGAACCTAAAGGACCTGAGAGTAGGTCGTGTAATTTCACATAATTGAAGTTGAGTATAGATGCAGCTGGATGTGACAGTGTCTCGAGATGATGTAGATGTGTTTGATAGGAAAATTGGAAAAGATGAGGTATTCTTTTTCATTAGGGAAGAAAAAGAGACTTGCTGTCCTAGAAAAGATTCATTTAACATAACGCACCAAATACTACAATACAGCTTGATTTTTCAGGTGCACCTATTAACCAGTAATAATGTTAAACCGAAGAAGCAAAATATGATGAATAAAGATGGGCCAAACTTTTGAGTTTTGACTAGCAATATTCTCCTTGTGCAAAATTCTGATTTTATGGATAAATTATGCGTGGCACAAATACTGTGAACATACATGAAATTTAGCAGAAATAAACCCTCACCGGCACAGAGGCATCAAAAGGAGGGAACCATTCATATCAGTATAAATGCAAACAGAAGTGAAGGAAATTGTCAGTTGGTGTATTGAAGTGTGACTTTTGGCTTTAGAACTATATATGTATATATCATTTCTTACTGCTGATAATTTCCTAAGAAAAAGGAACCTACGGACAAGGAACACTCGAAAGAATAGCCCTCAATCAGTGAGCTCCTCACACGTGGCTGAAAATGTGGCACATGAAGAAGGGAGATGGAGTTGAAGATGTAACAAGTATTGCATGTATACACAACGGAGAGATGCAAATTTACACAGCTAAAGATAAAATCAGACCAAATATTTGGAATGGAGGAGGACCTTCAAACACAGAGGTCCTCTTGCATCCTGGATATTTTCTGTTCCCTACTATTTACTTATGGCATTTGGAAAATTGTAACTCTGACAGTGTGTGACCCAGGTACCCTGCTCCCCTCCTCCTCTGATCTTCCCTGATAATGAATGGAGACTTTGCATCTGACGAGAGGAAAGGAGGGAAGTCAATTAATCAAAGCCATTTTTCCAGATATGTTTGCAGCTACGGAGCAATCTAAATATCACACATGAGCACATATACATTATGGAAAATGCATGTGCATTGGCCTGAGAGCAGCTTTTTAAACAACACATTAATGTCATCCTTAACACTACAGTGTATATAATGCAGTTTACAAGCTTCAAGAAGCAAAATTTCCTCACGAAATTTTCTGTACTTTTTTTCAGTCACCGTGCACCTATGTATAAATATCAGCTGTTCTTATTTAGCATGAAAGAAAAGCGAGGCAGGAGCCATGCAGTTTTATTAAAGCTGCAGAACTGAAAATAAACAGAAATAAGGAGTCCAGAAGTGGAAGTACAAAGCCCCAGGAGTGCTATCTTCTGTTGACTGCACGGGGCAAAGGCAGCCAGCTTTCACAAAATGAAGCTGTTTTAGGAAGCCAATTGATCCATCGGACAATAATGTTGCAGAACCTCCGTGGGGAAAAAAAGCAGCACTTCCTGATGTATACTGGGCTCTGAAAAACAAGAGTGTGCTTCTCCAGCATATAATAATCTCTCCCGCTTATTTGTCGTACAACTGAGGACGAGGAAAATTATTTGAAAAAATATTTATTTGAAGTTCCCTTGATGATTTATTTTACGTCTATAGATACTTCGATTTTGGAAACTTCTACTGGGTAGCTATCTCCACAGTGTGTACACATTGAGCTTTGATGTGCAATCTTTCACTGTTTTGCAACCCTCTCAGCAAATCCTTGTAATCTGGTAAAACACAACCTGTGTCTTGACCTATCCATCTCTGCAGCAAGGACATGTCTGTTTGGTCACTGTCTACTTTTTACGTACTTGAGTTAATATCCTAATAAGCCATGTAATAACATAGTGCTCTTTTTATACTCCTGAACGCTACCTACCAATGACATTCAGTAAATTAAAAAAATAACATGTCAGCTGCCTTTATATTAACATAGAAATAGTCATATATTTAGCATTCTAACGAAATAATACTAAATACATAATTAATTGGTCAATGGTTATATAGATATTCATATGCAATTTGTACATGGAAAAAGATCCTCTCATCCATGAAACAGTGCATTTCACAAATTACATCTACAAATACATCATCAAACTATTTGAATTTTTAATAATAGGGAAATATTTTATTTCTGAAAGCCTCACATTTTTCATTTGGCATAAAAAGCCTACTTAGTATTAGAAGTCACTAGGATATGTTTTCCTGTGAATTAAATGTTACATGTGAAATGGTTCCAGTCAATATCTCCTTTGTTTATACTTTTCATAAAACCTAGGTGACTATAAAGATTTTTTAATTATTTTCTCCTTTTCTTTTAAGCTGTATTTCTATCTGAGTGACACTCCACCTGTGAAACAGAACACAAGCACCATGGAAGTGCTTTAACCAGCTCTATAGTCAAGGTTGATTATTCTCACAATAGCAGAGATTCTGCCTTTGCTTTTTAAAGAGAACATGGTGAATCTGAAGCTGCAACACCCACCAAGGATCTTTTTTTTTCTCTCCCTGAACCCAAGAATATACCCTCCTTATAGCAATGATGGCCAAGGGGCCCATTATCACCAACTGCTGAGAAAATCTCTAATGCCTAATATCAAATGACCATCACCTTTCTTAAATGAACCACACATTATTTCCTTCTGTAAACAATGGGAGCTGGTAGATATTTTTAAAGATTGAATTGCTAGTGCAACAATGAGAAACATTTAAAAGACAGTAATCTATTGGGTGACTCTTGGGGTAACTCTTTCCACTGGCATTTGTAGGAGAAAAAAATGGGCAAAAATAATATCACTGTCTATGAAGATTCAGAATATTGGGTCATAATCTAAAATTTCTTTGGAACTGACATAAAACTGATCTGGGTACCTCACTGCTGAAATCCTATAATCATATCTCATGTTGGCACTGTGCCACCGTACATGTAGATCAGATGTGAGATGGGTTGACTGCTCAGACAATTTCTTTGTGTAAGTTTATCATTCATTTAAACATAATGTTAACTGAATATTCTGAATTCAGAATGTTTAGTAATGAGATAGTTGTAGCAACCCTGGGAATGATGTTACCCCTTTTGATCACTGATACGCATTCTCCACCTTTCACTTGATCTGAATGTACTTACTGCCTGGTAGTACCAAGCACATTTACAAAGAGACAAACTAGTGGGAGTTTAGTGAAGAGCAATCAAAATATGCTTAAAGGTTGAAATGATGGAAGACTATAAGAAACAAACAAGACTGACTAACTCATGATTAAGTGAAAGGGCCATTATTATCTACTTATATTCCATGAGTCTGGACACTAAGCAGAAAGAAGACTTATTAGCATAGTGCAGTAGTAGAGGGTATA